CTTGATTTTGAAATGGGATGAAGCTTTTAGGGTGTAGAAAGAGGAAGAAGGGGTTTGGGGTTATTTTATTGGGGAGGAGTTGCGCAAAACTACTGAATTTCTTCCCCTCTTTTTAAAAAAAAATGTTTTGCCTTTTTTCCCTCCTCTCTCTTCTTCTTCTCGTTCCTCCTCCTCCTCCTCCTCCTCCTCCTCCTCCTCCACTGCTGGCTGTCTGCATGTACCCCGTCAGACCCGTTACCAGGAGCTGGCAGTAGCTCTTGACTCCAGCAATTTAACAAACAAAGAACTCAATGCAGAGATAGAGGAAATGGTAAGGAACCCAACTAGACCGACCGACTTGGCTTTGGCTGGCTGCTCTTCTCCGCTCTCTGGACTCCGTCCTCTCACGGTGCCACAAGACAAGGTGTGCAGCGTGACCAGTTAACCGGCATCCTTTTGGCACCTGGAACCCCAATTAAAACTTGGCTCAGGGTTACGTTTCCACACCCAGCCTGTGTCTAAAGGGCTCACCGGCGAATTGCTGACTTGAGTTATCTCCGCCTTAGGTCCTGCCTGGCCTAATTCGACGCGAGGGCTTTTCTGCCCGTCTCCCAACGGCCCCCTGCTTCGAGCAAGTTGACCTCAACCTGTCTGTTGAATCCCCCTACAGTTTAATACTATTAGGAACTTCACCTTCAGCCTTTTAGTAGCAGAACTGTCAAAAGGGGGCAAGTTGGAGGACAGGCAGAAGTTTGCCAGGAGAGAAATTGGCCACGAACTAAGGAAAGATGTGGGCTGAATAGAAGCAGCCAGGTAACTTAAGAAACCGCAGGTGCCTTGAGGGGGAGGGAGAAGCTGCAGGTAAAAGGATAAAGGAGTCCTTGCAGATTTTACTCCTCTAGTTGCTGCTAGCTATAGGGGACGCTGCTCATCTCCGTTTCAACGCCCTTGAACCGGCGCTGTCCGAAGACGTTTCCGTGCTCCTGTGGCCAGCATGATGTCACAGAGCTCTCTCACCTTCCCACCAAAGTGGTACCTATTTATCTACTCGCATCGGCATGCTTTCCAGCTGCTGGTTGGGCAGGAGCTGAGGCGAGGACGGGTGCTCAGCCATCCCACGGAGCTCAGATCTCAAACCTGGGCTGCCGGCTTTCCAGCCGATAAGCCCAGCATCTTAACCGTTGAGCCAACTGCAGTCACAAACCGGATCCAACCCACCAGAAGTTGAATCCAAGTCGGGCAGAGTGGAAACAGGTTCAAAACTCAAGTCCAACGCCGAGAGAGATCCTGAAACCCGCGCTCACCAGAAGAGAACAGCCCAGGTTTTCCGTCACTTACTCCGCATTGACTCTTTCAGCAAGAGCAGAGCTTGCTAGACCCAAACTTACGATGAGCCGGCCCATTCTTCTACTCTTGTGGCACCGTGAAGAAGCCCACGCGGGCCGTCTTTGTCGCATCACTTACTGCCACTTCTCTTCCTGCTTGCCGTCTTCCGTGCAGCTAAGGGCTGTTTCCGGGTCGCAAAGAGGCTTTGCTGTGTTTGAAACCTTGTTTGCATGTGCTGTTTATTTCCCCCCCCCCTTATTTTTTTTCCTTTGAATTCTCATTTCACCCCCTCTCTCTTCTCCCACTCTGGTGGGTCGTGAAGTCCTTTATGCCGGAACGGTGCCTGTATCTGGACCAGGCAGGCACATAAATCCCAAGTCACCTTTTTCGGCGCCGTGGTAATGGTTGCTAAACAAATGTTTGTCGCCTGTACCCCGAAATTCATTTCTGTTGCAACACAGCAGGGGTTGGGGGAGCCAGGTTGGGGTGCTTCTGCTGGCCCTGACTTTGTCACCCGAGCTGAGCTGATCCCCCCAAAAAAGCCTTAGCCAGCCTTGCCTCGCTTCAGACGTGATCCTTGTGTCTCTGTTTTCCTTCTACAGAAACAGCAGAACCAAGACGTCGCGAATGAGTTGGAGAAGGTAATGGAGAAAGATATGTTCCAGAGACACAAAAATGTGTTATTTTGCTTCCCCCCTCCCCTTCTGTCTTCTAAACTTTTGGGAGGGTTTCAACTGCTTTACCGATACTTAATTTGTAGACCCCCCCCTAATCCTATGGATTGTGAAATTGCGTTTACCCTCCAGGGTAAATGTAGATGTGTAAAAAGGACAACCCATTTCATACGGGTTCCATTCCACCCAAATCTCGGTCTGAATGGGTTTTTGTAGCATTTATTTATTTATTTATTTATTTATTTAAATTTGTATACCGCCCTATCTCCCTTACGGGACTCAGGGCGGTGAACAGGCGATACTAAAACCCACAATAAATATACTCAAATTTCTATTCTAAAATCAGATTAAATAAAGGCCTGCTCTAAAATACCCCATATAAAACCTTTACTAAAACATAATGAAGGCTACGCCAGGCCGGCCGCACGGAATAGATGGGTTTTCAGGGCATGGAGAACAAAACACACTTCCCTCTCCCCCCCCCACTTCCATTCCTCACAGTTGTGTGGCTTTTGACCCAAGTTACAGTGGTCTGATTGTTTGTGTTCGTTTTCTTCATGTAAAAGCTGCTGCTTGGGGCTGTGTCAGCCTGTTCCTGTCCTCCCACGTGCAGGATAATTCTGCCATTTCCTTTGAACTTAGTCTGCTGAGCTAAGGAGTTTTCTCTTCCTGTTTTGAAAAACCTTAACTCCTTTTCACTTAGTTTAAAAAAAAAAAATTAACAAAACTTTAGCATGCGTTTCCAAACCAGATGTGGGTTAGCACGGCAATAACTGAGTCCACCCAGTATATTTTAATAGTAAAAATATAAGGGAGTAGAGACCATGCTCCGAGGATAATTTCCCAGCTTCTCTTCACCAGCATTTCTGAAAAGTTGGTTTGTGGAAGGACTATAGGAAGCTTTTAAACGCTGCGTCTGGACCAGAGCAGTTCTAGCAATATCTGAATATAATCAAGCAGTGTCTGTGATGTTATAAGTCAGTGATGGCGAACCTTTTAGAGACTGAGTGCCCAAACTGCAACCCAAAACCCACTTATGCATTGTCGAGTGCTGGGTGGGCGTGGCCCATTGGCTGGGCCGTGGCTGCGGTAACAGCAGACTGAGTGGGACTAAAAAGTTCAATCAATCAATTCCAACTTTGCAAGAACTTTTTTTTTCCCCGCGAGAAGTTGAAATTGACTGATTGAACCTTTTTTTTTTTTTGCACACGGCGGTGGAGGCCTAAAGCGAAAAAGTTTTATAAAACCCAGCTGAAGGCCTAGGACTGGGACGACGGTGCGCGTGCCCACAGAGAGGGCTCTGAGTGCCGCCTCTGGCACCCGTGCCATAGGTTCGCCACCACTGGTATAGGTTCTCCTGCTTGAGCAAGGGGCTGGACTAGAAGATCTCCAAGATCCCTTCCAATTCTTGTTCTGTTCTGTTCTATCCTATCCTATTCTACTGTATATTCCTATTCTATTCTACTCTACTCTGTTCTGTTCTGTTCTATTCATCTTCTATTTTATTCTGTTCTGTTCTATTCATCTTCTATATTCCTATTCTATTCTACTCTATTCTGTTCTATTCATCTATTCTGTTCTGTTCTATTCTATTCCTTATTTCTATTCTATTCTATTCATATTCTATTCAATTCTATATTCTATATTGTATATTCTATTCTATTATATTTTCTATTCCATTCCATTCCTCAACCGTGGCAGTTCGAAGACGGGTGGACTTCAACTCCATCCCTCTTCCAACTGCCAAGATTGAGAAACACTGCACTAAAGAGGGGATCTCAGCGCGAATAAATTGACTGCCGATCTTGCCGCGAGTAAATAAATTGTGTTTCCACAGGAGAAGAAAGGGTTCGAGCAGCGGTTTGCGAAGGAGCAAGCCACCCTACGAGAACAATTACAGGTACCGGCCTCCCATCCCTTTGGTACCAGCCTCCCATCCCTTACCTTCTGCAACCTAGAGGAGGAAGCTCATGGTTTTGTGCGAAGCCACGTTCTGACACTCGCTGGGTCCCTGGCGTGTCCCTCAGCTCATCCCCTTCCCCTGTGCTTCCTTGAAAGGTCCACATTCAGACCATCGGCATCCTGGTCTCTGAGAAGTCCGAATTGCAGACCGCTCTTTCCCACACACAGCAGGCTGCCCGGCAGAAAGCAGGTGGGTATCCTTTAGATCAGCGGTCCCCAACCGTTCCACCTTGGGTGGCCCAGCCTGACGTAGGTGTGTATGAGTGGCACGCACACAGCTCCGTTGGTGCGAGCGGGACGTGCCTGCGCCCTCCACTCAAGCGATTGGACCTTTGCATGTGAGCGTCCTCCACTCACATGGAGTATGTGAGTGGAGCGTCCTCCACTCACATACTCCACTGGGTATGCTTGCCCAGTGCTTGGGCTTGCGTGGTTTCAAACAGGCAGTGTTGGGGACCCCTGCTTTAGATTGCTCCTCTTCTAGTTGCCCATCTTATTTAATCACCTGGTGGTGTTAGAGACCTGGTACTCCTTTCCCAGCATCCTGGATTCCTTTGCCCCATCTCCAAAAAATCGAGTTTTACGGGCTGAATCTAGACTTATCCCAGCTCCATTTCCTTGCCAATAGAATAGAATAGAATAGAAAATAGAATAGAATAGAAAATAGAATAGAATAGAAAATAGAATAATAGAACAATAGAGTAGAATAATAGAATAGAATAATAGAATAGAGAATAGAATATGGAATGTAGAATAGAATATGGAATGTAGAATATAGAATAGAATAGAAAAAATATGGAAAATAGAATAGAATAGAAAATAGAATAGAATAATAGAATAGAATAGAATATGGAATGTAGAATAGAATATGGAATATGGAACGTAAGAATAGAATAGAATAGAATAGAATAGCATAGAATATGGAAAATATAATAGAGTAGAATAGAATAGAATAGAGCTGGAAGGGACCTTGGAGATCTTCTTGTCCAGCCCCTGCTCAAGCAGGAGAACCTTTGTGATCCTGGAGTTGCTTGGCACCAAATTGTGTCCACCTCTGCTTGCTTTGGAGCAGCCTGGTGGTAGCTACCGAAGCGCCTCTGCATCCATTGTGGGGCTCAGCGGCCTTGGGGTCCCGGCCCCCCTAATCTTGGTGTTTTTTTTTTCTGGGACAGGGGAAGCTGAGGACCTGGCCGCTCGGCTGCAGTCATCTCGACAGAGGGTCTCCGAGGTGGAATACACCCTCTCCTCCCTCTCCGTTCAGCAGAAGCAGACAGAGAAAGTAAGCATCAGACATTCACTTCTTCTCTCCTTGCCTTCTTTGACATCGTGGCTTCCGTTTTTGTGAAGCCGGGCCTCGTTCCCTGCCCCAAACGCTTGCAAAGCAAACAGAAATAAGGGTTTAAAAAAAATAGCTTCATTGGTCACACGCTTGGCCCTGCCTTTCTCAAACAGAGACCTTGTTTCCTGCAGAGGCCTTAGCCAAAAAAAACTTCCTTCTCCAGCTCTTGCTTGACTCTCCAGGGAAAAGGAAAGGGGCATTAAATGCAGAGAGAGCTGTTATCATCCTAGCCGCTCTGGCTGTGCAAGGCAAAAATGTTTCCACTGGGGATGAGTATTGGCGAATATTCCGCTTTTCCTGGCGGATTTTGCTGTGCTTTTAGCGGTGCCCAATTCTGCATCGCATTACGAGATCTTGCTTTACAAATAAAACCCACCCAATCCACCTTTTATTTTATTTTTATTTTTCAAAGCAGTAAAGGGAACTGGGCCAGCTGACCAACCTGAATTATTTTATACCAATAACAACAGATGCCGGGGAATTTATATATATATAGAATCCTTAATTTTATTTTTATTTTTTTAAAAAACAAGTTTTATTAATTTTTCAAATTTTAACATCCAGATACTTAGGAAGCAGCGTGGTGCTAGGGAAATCAGTCAATAACAAAATCATTCATATATATCTCAGGTTACATCAATAGCATTCCCTCACTGTTTCCCACAAATATTAATCATATTCATGTTAATAAGTTTCTAACTAGACTCAATTAATCAGTACATTTATCAATAGTATTTTACTTATATATATATCGAAGTCCTGTTTAGAGGTTTTATTTAATTCCAATTTATATATTCTATTTAGCCTTTTATAACCAATGTTTAAACTTTGGAAAACCTTGATTTCCCTCATTTCATTATAATATAATTAACATAACTAAAATACACATATTATTCCATATTTTACCTTCTTTATAGACAAATATATTCTAATTCTCATTCTAATAACTCCTTTAATAACAAAATATCTTTCATTATCACGAATCTATTTCCATATAACAATTAAAGTTATAGTCTAACAGTTCATTTTAACTCCCATTATAAATCTAAGTGCTAAATATAAAAAAAAACATTATCTCTAAAAAGCTGCTTTACCCATTCAGTAGATTTCTAAATCCCATTTTTAAATCTAACTGTGGCTTTCCTTTTGTGCCAAGTAAGAATCCTTAATTTTAAATGCCTTCCCAGGAGCGAGATACAGCAACCTTTCTCAATTTCTTATTTGGGGGACATTTCTCCCAATGAAGGGTCTGTCTCCCCCCCCCCCTTTTTTTTTCTTTCTTTTAAATTGCCTGTTTTGATTCGTTTTCCTTCTTTCTTGCTGACAGCACAACAAAGAGCTAGCCAAGGAACGGGATAACCTCAAACTGGAAATGTACAAGCAAAGGTGAGATGCGTTCCTTTTGGCTTTATTGTTTGGGGGCGTTTATAGAAACGAAAGAGGGGCTTCATTTTGTTCTCTTGGGTTGCCCCTTCCCCCTAGTAAAACCAACGAAGAGCTCAAGCAGCAGACTTCGGAGTTGTCGGAGAAACTACACAACCTGTTCTCTGAAAACTCAGCCATGAAACTGGACGTGGAAGATTTGCACAAGAAACTGGAAATGGCCGAGCTGCTGATCCAGCAGGTATCCGCGTTACTGTGACTACTGGTCCTTGAGTTAACAACCACGTTTTTAGCGACCGTTCAAAGCGGCCCCTTGGGGGGGAAAAATGACTCACAACCAGTTCTCACACTGCAACAACCGTCACAGCATCCCCACAGTCACACGATCCAAATTTGGGAGCTAATTGTAGGATTGTATTAGCATTTGGGGCTGCTGACTTTAGAGATTAAAGGGAAAGAAGTCTCAGTCTACTTTAGGACGTGGGATAACTTTTACCAGTGGCTAGAAAAACGAGTCAAAAGAGAAAGGAATGTGACATGTAATTTTGAATATATAAAGAAGAAGGCTACTGAGTGATTAATTAATACTGTTTATGATCATTAACTACATCTACAGTTGCAAGAAAAAGTATGTGAACCCCTTGGGATAACACAGAGTTTTGCATGAATTGGTCATAAAATGTGCTCTGAACGTCATCTAAGTCACAACAATAGAAAAACACAGTCTGCTGAAGATAATAATGCACAAACATTACATGTTGCCATGGTTTAATTGAACATAACATGTAAACATTCACAGAGCAGGGAGGAAAAAGTATGTGAGCCCCTAGCCTAATGACGTCTCCAAGAGCTAATTGGAGCCAGGAGGGAGCCAACCTTGACTCCAATCAGTGTGATGATATTGGATGTGTTGCTGACAGCTGTCCTGCCCGT